AGTTTGCTGCTGAGCACATGAGCACGCGTACATTAGATGGGTGCTACATTTTTCCCCAGAAGAGAAGTCTGCCCTGAAAATTAAAGTAAAAGTAAGTGATCGACACACGTAGAGTCAGAGGAGAGGGCGGGTGGTGGTTGCATGCCTGCCCTCCGAGCCATTCCCCTAACCCCTGGAGCTCCCTGCTCCCTGGGAACGTTGGTGTCTGCACAGGGCAGAGTCAGAGTGAGTGGGGCGTCTGGGGGCCCTGTGGCAGGAGAAGGGGAGGCACCGGGCAGGAGGAGCTGGGCGTGCGCTCTCCCTGGGGGCCACGCTCGCCGGGCTGCGCTCGGTCTCTTCGGGTGCAGCTCCTACCTGTGTAGTTGAGAGGTGAGCTGGAGGCCGAGGGGCTTTTCCCAGTTTTTTGAAGGAAAACGGAGGCTCTGGGAGATTGGGTAACTTTGCACAGGTCCAGGCTTGACCCTGGGGCTGTGATGAAGGGTCCGCGCTGAGGACGTGCCCCTGTACAGAACCCAGGGGTGGTGGGAACGGGGGGTGGGAGGTGGGGCTCAGGAGGGGCCCCTGGGTCCCCTTGGCACACGCTCCCTGCAGACGTCGTTAGTTCAAGTTTGTGGCAGGTGTTACCCTCACTCCCACCTTGTCGGGCGCCCTTCCTGCAGCCACGCGCAGGCAGATGCCGAGCCGCCAGCCAGTGGACGTCCACACTGAGCGCAGTGGGGGTGGCAGGGCAGCAGCGTCCCAGCCGGCCAGGAAGGCTCCCCTCCTTGGACACTGTATGAGTCTGCGCCCGGCTGTTCAGTTTGCTTCTGTTACCTTCACGTCCACGTTGTTGCCTGGTGCACCGATTGGTGCCTTTCTGGCTGTGGGCCGTGGGAGCCCAGCTTGTGTGGACAAGGTGGCAGGGCATCACGGCCAGCCGGGGGGAGGCCATGCTCACCAGGAGCTCTGCTGTTGTCCTTGGGCTTGTGTCGCCCCTCTCTGCTCTCTTGGCCACTGTCCTCACGTGTCCATGGCTTCTGTGTCATACATCTCCTGGCTTTAGAACTGAAGGCCCGAGATTTGGCTTCTTTGGTCTTGAAGTCAGGAATCCTCTGGAAGAGTCAGTTGCCCACCCAGAGCGAGCCCCGCGTGCACTTCTGAGAGCAGTGGAGGAGGCTGGGGAATCGCGGGGAGGCGGTGGGGGCTGTGACGTGCGGATCCTTGTGTGGCCAGGGTTGTCACCCCGATGGAGCAGGAGTGAAGGAGGGAGAGGAGGCTGCCCAGGCTTGGGGTGCTGGGGGCTGTTGCTAGCTATGCCCATGGGTCAGAGCCACGGGTTCTACTCACACTTCCCTTCCTACAGAGACCCCCGCGGGCGGGTGGGCAGGCGGGGAGAGCGAGGAGCCTCGCTCAGTGCTGGCGAGCCCCGACCGACTTCTGTCGGGGTGTTGCCCGCTTCGCCCCGCAGACTTCCTGTGCCTGCCTGGTGGGCCAGGCCGTGCCCCAGACCCATGGGAGCTGCGGTGGGCCAGGCTGCCATGCGGGACTTGTAGTTGTCATGCTGCCTGTTAAAGCGCTCTGTCTGTGGGAGAAATCTTTTGGCACATGTTGCCCACTGGGAAGTGGACAGTAAGGCCAGTTAGACCGTTTCCTTCCCAGAGCTTTCGTGCTTGCACCAGAAAGCTGAGGGTTAGCACCGCGAGGCCCCCTGGTCAGGTCGCTGTGGAGCTGGACCCTCGCCTCCGCCTCTCGCTGGCTGTGGAAACTCAGGGGAGTCGGGGGTGGAGGTGGGACTGGGGGGAGGTTTGTTTGCATCTTCACTGTCAATGGATGTCATTTGTTTTGTCTTTTTTCATATCGGGGAGAGACTTCCTTTACTTAACCAGCGTTTCAGTTACTGGGAGTAAATACCAGTGTCCCGGGGTGACAGCAGGGCTCCCTGGGCCACGTGCCGGGTCCCGTGTGCTGAGGCTGGCGGCATGCCAGCCCCCGGGAAGGGATGGGTCTGCTCTGGGCCCGAGGTGCTTCTGAATCAGGCAGAGGCACGGCTTGGGCCACTTTTCAGAATGGGCTTTTCAGTTGCTGTTTTGCAACAATCTCACTTTTGGGTTGTAAAGATTCAAGTGAATCTGAACATAACGTGTCCCTCTGCGGCCCACACAGGGTGATTTAAACCAGGGGCAGCGCACGCAGAGGCAGGCGATGGAGCGGGTGGGGACGGGCCCGGCGCCGCTGCCCTCTGCTGGCCTTTACGGGGCTGGCTGGGGTCTGGGCTAAAGTTTTGCTGGATTTCCCAGCTTTCAGGGAGAAGCTGGCAAAAGAAAGCTCCCTGTGTGTGCTGTCCCGGTTTCTAAAAACATGGAGGGCGGATCGGAGTGGGCTGGAGGGGCCCTGGGTTGCCAGTTCGTTGCTCTTAGTTTGAAGTTTCATTTGGAAAATGAGTTTAAACTGAAAGGCTGGCTTCAGCGCGTGTCGCCGTGTGTTCCTTGCAGGGCGTGGTGACTGCTGCCACCAGTCTCATCACCACCTTAGCACAGAAGAACCCAGAAGAGTTTAAAACCTCTGTCTCTCTGGCCGTCTCCAGGTTAAGCAGAGTAAGTCTGTTCATGGGAAACGGAACTCGGGGTGGGGGGTGTTTGGTCTTAGTTATTTTATGTAATTAATATATTTACTATTTTGAGTGCAGGATATTTGGCCCAGTTTGTAAATTCAAGAGTGAAAATGTGTTGGTTAGTAACTGATCGGCCTTTCTTTTGACCTTTTTGTCAGTTAGAGATGTCCTGTGCATGCAGAACTGTGCACGCAGCTGGGCAGTCCAGCTCCCAGGCGCCTCCCACCCATCCTTGCTGCTGGGGCCACGTGGCCGCTTCCCCCTGCCCCTCGCCCGGGCACACACCCTGGTGCCGCCCTTGAGTGCTGGCTGGGCCCTCACCACCGTAGTTCCTTGGGATCGACTTGCTTTGTTCAGCATGGTGAAGTCGTCGGCTTTGCGGCTGGTGCTTGGTGTTTGATACTGTGTGGAATCAGTGTGTGCCCCACTGTGGGCCCCTGCTGTGAACGTCTGGGTGTCCCCCGGCAGGGGCGTTGCAGGGTCCCGGGGCCGCAGGCCCCCGAGGAGCCGGTGGCCGCGCTGGCTGGGGTGCCCAGCACCGCTCTCCGTGTTTTGGCCTGGTAGGCCTGGCCTCTGGGTGCTCAGACCTCTCTCCCTGCTCTCTGGGTCCGTGCTGTCCTGTGGCTGCAGAGGCAGGGCAGCGCTGTGTGTTTGTTGGCTTTTTGAATACTTCCTTTTGGGAAGTGCCTGTTAACTCTTTTACCCGTTTTTCTTTGGCATCGTCTCTTTTCTTGTTTTATAGAAGTTCTTTATGTGTTTTGGATCGGAGCACTTTGTCGGTTAGGGTGAGCCAAACAAGATGGCCAACATTACCCACGTTTGCTGTTCAGAAATGCCAGCGTGGATGGTTAGGCCTCCTCTGTGCCCTTCCACCCTGTAACTCGCCATCTCACTCCCTCGTGGTATCTCCGTGATCAGAAATTCCACATTTTAATGTAGTCAGACTTCCTGACCCTTCCCTCGATGGCCCGTGGTCCTCACGTTTACGAAGCCCCATCCTCAGGGCTCAGGGTTAGGCTGACTGTCCTCCTGGGACTGGCTTCTCTGTGGTGATGCTTTTCCTTGAACGAGACCCAGTTGTCCCTGTTCCTCTGCCAGGAAGCCCCTCCTCGCAGACTGGTCAGAACCAGTGGCTGCGCCTCATCCCTGGATTTCTCTGTTCATCTTCGCACCAGTGACGCGCTGTCTTAGTTACTGGAGCTTAAGGGTGAGCCTGCGTGTCTAGCGGAGCTGCTGCGCTTCCCTCCCCAAATGCTATTGGGGGCTGCCTTTAATCTGTAGGTCAGTTTGGGGAAAATTAAAATCTTCATAGGATTGAGATTTTGAATCTATGACCGTGGTATTACCCTTTACTTAGTCTTTAATTTCTCTCAAAAATGTTGTATAACGTTTTGAGTAAAAGCTTTTAATTTTTGTTAATTTGCCTTTATACGTTTTATTTTAAAAATGCTATTCTCAGCGATACCTTGAAAATGTTACTATAAAGCTCTGCGCGCTGGTTTGTTGCGGCTGGTTTTTGTGCGTTGCCCTTAAAGTTGGCAGCCTTCCAAGCCCGCGTCTCGATGGCAGTGATGTGCGTGCAGGTCGCTGTGGCCTCCCTGTGCCCCATCGCGCCGTCGGCCGACAGTGGCAGCTTTTCTGCTTTCTCAGTCCGTGTTGTTCATGTTTCTGCTTTGTTTCTGCAGTTTGGCCCTCCTGCAGTGCTGAGTCTGAGAGGTGATTGCTGTCTCGTTCCTGGTCTCAGAGGATGTGTCATGTTCGCGTTAGGTGCGGCGCCTGCTCTCTGTTCTCTTTATCTCATTGAGGAAATTTCCTTCCGTACCTTCGCCACCGTCATCACGAATCAACTGGTGCAGCCGTTGAATTCGGGGTTTTCTTTGTGGGATGATTTCTACTTACGGATTCTATTTGTTTAGCAAGTGATGGGACTTCATTTTTTCTCCTTCTTTCATCAGTTTTGCTGGGTTGCATTTTCTTGACGTTTGCTAGTGCATCTTGACGTTCAGGCACGCTGGCAGGCAGTCTCTGTGAGGGGCTTCAAGGCAAGGCCCCCTTCTCCGCCCGGCGTTGGGGGCCTGCCCTTCTCTCCTGTTCTTGGTCAGTCTCCTCGAGCGTGTGAGGATTTCTTTTGACTTTGCCGATCCTTTTTTTTTTTTTTACCTTATTCCTTATGCTTTTATCTGTATTGTTTCTCTACTTTATTTTTCTCTACTTTCTATAGGTTAATTTTGCTAATTTCCTCCTGAACCCTTGAGATGGATTCTTCAGTGCTTTTATTTTTACATTTGTTTCAAACATGTGTATTTAAAACTATAAATTTCTAAGCGTGGCTTTAGCTGCATGAGACGTGTTTTAGAGGCAGCCTTTGTTGGCTGTCACACGCAGCGGTGTGGCCCGCCCACCCGTCGTCCCGCTGCTCCTGCGCGTCCCACCAGTGCTGTGAATAGCTTGGCGCACAGCTCGCTGCAGGAGGGGCCATGTCCCAAGTCAGGGCTGGTAACTTGCAGCTGAGGACGGGGGTCAAGATGAACCTTCCCGGAAGTGCACAGTTATGACCTCTTGTCACATCTGCGAGCTTTGTAGGGAGGAGCCTGACCTCCCTGATGCAGGATGGGGGAACGGGCCAGGTTGTGTGTTAGTGGATACGTGATGTCTTAGGGATGGTCATGTATTCGGAAGGTTGACGGAGTGTCTGTCCTGCCAAGACTGTGCTGGACAAGGAGGTGGAACTGTGAGTGAAGGATACATGTTCTCTGGCCTGGGTGGGCTCGTGGCAGGGGCCTGCGCTTGGGGCCTGGGGTTGAACAGTACCTCCTCCTTTCTGAGGGGACCAGATGTCTCCCTTCTGTGTTTAATTCACTTTCCGGCCCACAAAGGAAAGCTGGGGTTCCCAGTCCAGGCTCCCTAGGCCTCTGTACTGAGGGGGGCGGCTCTCATGGGTTGGGGGTCTGCCAGTTTGTGTCCCGCAAAGCAGGGAGGCCATCACACAGCAGCTGTACCCTTGCCCCTCTGAGACACAGACAAATGTGTCACATGTTCTTAGACGCTAGTGTGTGGCTTTCTGTTGGTCCCCATCGCGGGGGCCTCATGGCGACACCTGCCCCCGGCGTCTCATCGCCCTGTGCTGCTTTACAGATTGTGACGTCGGCGTCCACGGATCTTCAGGACTACACTTACTATTTCGTCCCAGCCCCCTGGCTGTCAGTCAAGCTCCTGCGGTTGCTGCAGTGCTACCCACCCCCAGGTAACAGCCGAGTCGCGGAGGTCTCCCCGGGAGGGGTACGCTCTGGTGTTTCAGGGCAAGGTTCAAGGTTTTTACTGGCACCGGTTCTTGTCCTGTGGATCGCTCTGTGATGATGCCATGCCCCTGGGCTCTCCCAGAGCGGCTGGTGGAGAACTCACAGTTCTGTTGCGATTTGGAATCACCTCTGCTTTTACATGCACATGGTGTCAGGTCTGTGCAGGTTTTTGAAAGTCTTTTAAAATAAGTCTTGAAACCTGTTAAAACCTTTATGTCCTAAGTTGTTCATAACCCGTGTAGCCTTAGTGTACACATCAAGGCTACTGTTTTGTTCACGTCTTGTTCTAAAATGTTAGGTTTGACCAGAATGGTGAGTGTCTACAGCTAGGATTTCTGGTTGAAGAATGCACGTGACAATTGCTGTTAGGTACTTCCAGCTTGCCCTCTACTGCGATTGCGTTGTTGTTGTAACCTTTACGTTTTAATCTCAGTTTGTTTTTGTACAGGATATTTCCCTGTTAAATTCAAGTAACTTCTTGTACTGAACCTCTTTTCTGCTGAAGCATGAGCTGTGCGCGCTCCTGTGCTCGCAGCCCCGCCCCCTCCCCAGCAGGTCGTGTCCCCCTCCCCCCGCCCCCACGCGGGCCGCCCTTCCTGAGCAGCCGGGGTTGGGTGGACACCTTAGATGCGTTGCATCCGTTGTTTCTGGAGTTCTGGTATTTTTATTGCTCTCTCACTCTTTTGGTCTTCTGTTTTCTTCTGGTTTGACCAGAAATGTAAAATTTCCTTATCTTTTTATTGCTTTTTACCCTGTTTTCTCCGTTTCTGTTGGTAATAGCAGGTAGAGGAAAAACCTTTTGCTCCCTCTTCCCTCAGACTTCCATATCGCCTGTTCTGTCCGTGTATCTGAGATTCTTTCTTGACTTGTAGAAGCTGTATTTCAGAAAAGTTCTGTGTATGTTACTTTTGTTGAAATGTACGCGTAGCTATCAGTTCCTCTGATTTCAAGCAGTACAGGACTTGACTGGGGTCACTTAACTGCCGGCGTCGGCGGTGCAGTGCGGCCGGGAGGAGGGCAGGCTGAGGGGGACCTGGCCGACAGCTGTCTGTCTTGCCCAGAAGACCCTGCAGTGCGAGGCCGCCTTACCGAGTGCCTGGAGACCATTCTGAACAAGGCCCAGGAGCCGCCCAAGTCCAAGAAGGTGCAGCACTCCAACGCCAAGAACGCCGTGCTCTTCGAGGCTATCAGCCTCATCATCCACCATGACAGGTGGGTGGTCGTCGCCGAGCTCCTTCCGTGGCCCTTCCCCGGGCAGGTGTGAGGCCGAGGTCTCAGGACGCGTGGGCTTCCTTCCCTCCCACATGTACTCTGACCTTGGCTGCTCCACCTGTGTGCTCTGCCCGCTGTGGCCTCAACTCCCCCAGAGGGCCCTCCTGTTTCTCCTGCGCATCCCGCCCCGCTTCTCCTGGAGCCACCCAGGAAGGATGGTTGTGCGTGAACTGCGGGCCTGGCGGTGCAGGACGCCCTCGGCATTGGCCCGAGGTCCTGGTGGGGAAGTGTGTCGGGGCGGTACAGGGAGGTGGGGGTGTCTTCCCCGCCCAGCTCTGGGCTCCCCTCCGCACTCCTGTCAAACAGTTTCCTGGGAGTTAGGCCCTGACAGCTGCTGGGAACTATTACCCGGACTTTGTGTTAGAGGCACCTTCTTGTCTTTACTGACTTGTGTTCAAAGAGCAGCTGCATCGCGAGGACGGAGGAAGAGCAGGGAGAGGTTTAGCCCACGTTTCATGGTGGCTGGTGCTTAAATACGTGGTCACCTCCTTTATGTCCACGTCCACACGTCTGTCCTCAAGTGTCTTCTCGTCAGGGCGTTGGTTCGGCCTCTGACCCAGCGGGCCCTCTGGCTGAGGTCCTGCTCCAGCCGCGACTTGACGAAGCTTCGTGTGGAGGCTCAGGGTCTGGGTGTGAGGAGACAGCTCTGCTGTCAGCCCTTTTGAGGCTGTGGGTTCCGTGGGGAAGCTCCAGTGGGCGCGAGGTGTCGACTGTCATGTGGAAGCGACCAGAGGGACCGTAAGACTGATGTTGGGGTCTGAGTGTTAGACCTCGCGCCCCCGAAGGCCCTGCGCTTGCCGCTCAGCAGCGTGGTGACCGTGAACTTGGCATGACACTGCCACTTGCCGCGTTGACTCGCTCGCAGCACTGTCTGTGTGGCGCCGGCCAGGAAGCCCCCGCCCACCCCACCTCTCCTGTGCGTGCAGTGAGCCGAACCTGCTCGTCCGCGCGTGTAACCAGCTAGGCCAGTTCCTGCAGCACCGGGAGACCAACCTACGCTACCTGGCCCTGGAGAGCATGTGCACGCTGGCCAGCTCCGAGTTCTCCCACGAGGCAGTCAAGACACACATCGAGACCGTCATCAATGCCCTGAAGGCAAGTGCACTGTTCTGGGGTCCTCCTCACCTCAGGGGCACCGCCATAGTGGGTGCTGGCGCCCAGTCACCTTTGTCGCTCGTGGTGGGTGCAGCAGCTGGGCGGGAGCGACACGTGAGATCTCGTGGTCACTTGAGGCTGCACAGCTCAGGCCCTGAGTGGGTCTGGCCTACTGCTCCAGGTCCCCCACTCTCCTGCCACGTCGGCCGCGCCGTGTCCAGGCACTTCCGCGTTCTCTGCCTGTGAGATGGCATCACAACACGGGGCGGCTGTGCTGCCTCACACGAGCAGAATCACAATAAAAATGTGAATCAGTAGAAGCTGTTCTTTTTGGTTAGAAAGATGAAATGTTTTGTTCTTGTCTCCAAAAAGACTCACTCTTTGCAAAAGAATATTCATTTTTTTCAAGGAATTAAAATTCCAGAGTTGGAAGAGCCACGTTGAGGCCGTCTCTCTTAGGAGCCGTCGTTCCTCACGGTCAGACGCAGGCGTCCACTCTGTTCCTGCTTGTTGGGGAACTGAAGGCAGGCAGGGAGGCTGTGAAACCCGCTGCCCTGGTCCTGGGCTTAGAGATGAGAACAGGTCTGCCCTGTTCCTTGTGTCTGCGTGTATCGAACAGACGTTTTTTGCTGTGTGTTTTGGACAAGAGGCTGTATGAGGGTTTGGAATTTGGCTTTCTGGCATTTCCAGGTCCTTGTGGCCTGGTTTTGGCATCTGTTCCAGTCGCTGCCCGGGTCAGAAAGACTTGCCCCTTCTGTACAGGTGGCTTGGCCTTCAGCGGCGCCCCTGTGCTGTCCTCTGTGGGGAGCAGCTGTGGTCTTGTTTTGACCCAGAAGCTGATGAGCAGGCCTGGGGTGGGGCTGAGAGCCCGCACTGTGACAGGCTCCCAGGCGACGTGGAAGATGCCGGTCTGTGACCACGCAGTGGAGAGACCTCTGACCCACCCCAGGGTCAGCACGTGATCCTGGCCAGTCCAGAGCTGTCCAGGCCGAGTGCAGGAGTTGGGGGCAGTGAGTTGGCACGTGAGGGGCTCTGTGGGGCCCCCTGGATCCAGATGGTGAGTAGGAGGGCTCAGTGTGAGTGTGGGGACCGAGGGGGCGCCTGGCCAGCTGAGTCAGAAGCGTAGGAGAGCCTGGCATGCGGGGCTCTCGGTGGACAGCCTCCGCCCCTGGCCCAGGCTGTGCTCATGCAGCTGCTTCTGTGCCCCCAGACGGAGCGGGACGTGAGTGTGCGGCAGCGGGCTGTGGACCTCCTCTACGCCATGTGTGACCGCAGCAACGCCCAGCAGATCGTGGCCGAGATGCTGAGCTACTTGGAGACGGCTGACTACTCTATTCGAGAAGAGATTGTGAGTTCGCGTCACGGGCCGTGGATGCTTGTGAATGTCAGCTCCCGTGTGTCCCTGGTTGGTGGTGGTTCCGTGGACTCTGCTGAGAGTCTGCTTGGTGCTGGAGGAGACAGTCCTTTGCCTTGGCCTACTTGTCTGCATTTTGAGGGGAGTCTTCCGGTCTTTCAGGATGACTTTGAGCAGGCCCTGCGGTCAGCCCGTCTGGCCGTGTCCACCTGTCAGTAAGCTCTGGCAGCTCAGGGTCCAGGGGAGTCTCCAGGCGCCTGTGGCTGGGCGAGTGGGAATTCAGGTGCCTTGGGCAGGTCTTTGTACTTGTTTGCTTGGCGCGTTTTTGTGTTACCCCGACACACCTGGAGGGGAGGGGCCTGGCCTCCAGCGGCACTTGGCCCCTGCAGAGTGGCGCAAGCTCCTGGCAGGCCCACGCTCTGTGGCACTGACCGTGTGCGAGACCGCTGGGGGTGCAGACCCGGGGCACGGGTCCCTGGAAGCTGCATCAGCAGGAAGAGCAGGCCTGGTGGTTACTCCAGGGCATGTCGGGCTCGGAGTGAACCTGTGTGCCAAGGCCCTGCAGCCTCTCCGTCCTTTGAAGAGTTTTTTGTCCTTCTCGGGGGCAGAGCACAGTGGAGGCCTCCTTGGAACCTTTGTAGAGTGAGTGTCCAGTATCAGAGCTGTGAGTGACTTGCAAGGCTGCTTGTGGGCCAGCATTTGGTTTGAAAACGACAGCCCTGTGGCTGAACGTGGTCAGATGCTCAGGGTTATAGAGGGTCAGTCACTGAATAGTGTGGCCACTGTGGCCAGACCGGGGGCTGGGTGCTGCCCTTTAGTGGGGGTGTGGGCTGCCCGGCGTGGTCAGCTTGGCTTCTCAGAGGTTGCAGCCTTTAAGCCGAGCCATGGGGCAGCTGGGCCAGAGGGCGTCCGTGTGGGGTAGGGCTGGGCAGTGGGGCCGGCTCTGGGCGCTGTGGTCCTGGGACTTCACTTCTCATCTCTGTGTGGTGCCTTGAGCAGAGACAGGCACGTTTTTCAGTGGAACTGTGTTGGCTTTTAAGGTCCTGAGTGTTGGTCAGCCCCGCATCAGCGGCTCTCACTCCCTTTCACGTGGTGAGTGAGGATCCTCCATCAGTTTCACTCACACGAGGAAGAAAACCAACACTCCTCTCAGTCCCTGGGTACTTGCTCTGTCCGTCCATCTGTCCAGCCAGGCACGTGCTAGCTGCTGGGCAGCCACACTGGATGTGCTGCACTTCCCGCCCATGAGGAGCCTTTCTGTGCCCACCAGGCCTACCTGTGATAGGTAGGGATGGGTGGAGGCAGGGCCTGGGGTCCCAGGGCTCCCGGGGGCATCTGTGCCACCGGACAAAGGGGGCAGTACTGCAGGAGGCGGTGGCGGTCTTGCCAGGAGAGTCCAGGGCACGGAGGCCCCTGGGGGCAGGTGGTTCAGCACAGAGGAGTGGGGCGTGTGGGGCAGGGGCGGAGGCAGCCGACCGCGGGCCTCTGTGGTGTGGGGGAGCCCTGAGTGTGTGACTTCGAGGCGAGCTCTGGGCTTGAAGGGCTTTAAGCTGAGAGCAGTGGCAAGGCAGATACTTTGGAATGATGCTCTGGGACCACAATGGAGAGTCGATTTGGAGGCCAAAGGGTGGGTAGGGCGGATGGACGGTGGGATGGCCCCAGCTCGGGCTCGGGCGCGGCCAGGAGGTGAGGTGGCGGGTGGGGGTGGGGGACGCGGTCTGGCTTTGGTGCGGTGCAGCTCAGAGCACCTCAGAGCGAGAAGAGGCTGCTCTCTGGGGAGGCTTGGGGCTGCTTCTGACAGCCCAGAGCAGGCACCCTGGGCAGTGGGTGGGCTCTCCTGGGAAGAGAAGGAAGGCTGGTGGGAGCAGGTGACCCAGCGAGCACGGCCGCTCTGTCAGCAGGCTGCCTTGGCCGTAGTGGGGGCTCGGCGTACTGCCTGCAGTCGTGGCCAGCCCCCTGTGTCTTCCTCCACCCTGTCTTGTGTCTGTTCCTGGAGGATGGTTTGGCTTTCCTCAGTTTAGCCTGTGGACCCTAAACTTTCTGGGCTCTCTGAGACCCTGGGGGGCGGCTCTGGCACGCATGTTTACGTCCTTCTGAAGCCCTGTGTGGACGCTGGCGGCGCTGGGCCTGGCGTTGCGGGGCTTCTGGGCACCTGCCCTGAGCGGCCGTCCTCTGCAGGTGCTGAAGGTCGCCATCCTGGCAGAGAAGTACGCTGTGGACTACACGTGGTACGTGGACACCATCCTGAACCTGATCCGCATTGCCGGCGACTATGTGAGCGAGGAGGTGTGGTACCGCGTCATCCAGATTGTCATCAACCGGGACGACGTGCAGGGCTACGCTGCCAAGACGGTGTTTGAGGTGCGTGGAGGGCCGGCCTCCCTCCCGTCTCCTGCCAGCCTTCTTGGAGGTCCTGGCTCCGTATCCCTCCTGCCTCTGCTTGTGTCTCGGTTCCCTCGCACCTTCATTTCCACACCACTGACCACGTGAGCGAGCTGCCTAGGGCCGGGGCCTTTGTGCGCCTGAGAGCGTGGCCCTGGTGGGCTGGTGGTCTTGGTTGGCGAGGGAAGTGTGCCTCTGGAAGGTGCTGATGTGCACCTGCCCCGGCCTGGGGCCTGAACGCCGGTTTTCAGGAGCAGCTGTCGTTCCAGGCACGGGGTCAGCCAGGGCCTCCCCTGGGCTCCCCTGCTACTGAGGCCTCTACTGAAGTGGCCTGGAGGGAGGATGGGCAGGAACTGCAGCCCAGAGAGGCTTGGGAAGGCCTGGGGCCTGCGCCTGTGCCCCTGGCCCGGCCACTCGGCCTGCTGCTCTCTGGAGGTGGAGCGCCTTCACTGCCCCTGCGTGGGCTCTGTGCGCCCAGCTCACTGCGTGTGCTTTCCCCAGGCCCTCCAGGCCCCGGCGTGCCACGAGAACCTGGTCAAGGTGGGCGGCTACATCCTGGGGGAGTTCGGAAACTTGATAGCGGGAGACCCGAGATCCAGGTAAGTCGCCCAGGGGCCGGGAGCGTCGCATCCTGGCGCTGGGCCGCCCTCCGGTTCCCACCTGATGGCCTAGTGAGGCTGGCTGACATCCCGAGCCCGTGGAGACAGCCCAGAGTGAGACCACGTGTGCTCGGATCGATTGTACGAGTGATGAGGGTTCTAGCTGAGAATGAGATGCGGCCGTTCAGAGAGAGTGCTCCCCTGGGGATTGGAGGTGCCTGGTGCCAGACAGCCTTCTCCCTCACAGGAGAGGTTCTGGTTTCGTGTGTGGCTGGCTCCCCCCATCAGCCCTTGCTTGCTCTCCCCGTCCTGCTGAGGTGCTGGGGGCCAGCTCAGGCCAGGCGGAAGCTGGGCGTGGGGCTGCTTGGAGATGGGAGGTGACGCTGTGCCCCGCCCATCCACCCCCCCGCACTCAGCCCTCTGATCCAGTTCGACCTGCTGCATTCCAAGTTCCACCTGTGTGGCGCCCCAACCCGGGCGCTCCTCCTGTCCACTTACATCAAGTTCGTGAACCTCTTTCCGGAGGTGAAGACCACCATCCAGGACGTGCTACGCAGCGACAGCCAGCTGAGGAACGCGGACGTGGAGCTGCAGCAGCGGGCCGTGGAGTACCTGCGGCTCAGCACAGTGGCCAGCACCGACATCCTGGTAGGCCGGCTCTCTGTCCCCGCGGCACGCTGCCCATCCGGAGGGCCATGGGGCTTCGTGCCCGGCCGACCCAGACGTCTTTCCCACCAGGCCACTGTCCTGGAGGAGATGCCCCCGTTCCCGGAGCGTGAGTCCTCCATCCTGGCCAAACTCAAGAAGAAGAAGGGCCCGAGCACCGTGACGGACCTGGAGGAGGCCAAGAGAGAGAGGGGCAGCGACATCAACGGGGGCCCCGAGCCCGCCCCGGCCGGAACCAGTGCCGCGGTGGGTCCCTCCCTGAGGGCGGTGCCCTGTGCGTGCCCGGGGCCTGGGGTCCAGAGCAGTTCCTGCATCTCATCTTGGCTTTGGTTTTAGAAAACGTGGTCTCTCGTCCCTTTTGCACAACTGCCTCGTGAGGCTGCCCACTGCTCCTCGGTGAGGAGTGGCCCGCCTCCTGCTGTCCTTAGTTTTCAGTGGCAGGTGGGTTAGAGCGAGTGGCCCGTTCATGTGAGGCGCAGTGAGAACACCCCGACCAGAGCAGACGCGCCCTTTGACGTCTGTTGGGGGAGGCACCCTCTTGAGAGGCGTCTTGCCCTCTGGTGGGGAGCCCGGGGAGCGGGCCCCTCTTTGCAGGACATGTACTTTGTGCTGCCTCCTTTTGCTTGAGGTGGAGTTCACACGTAAGATGATCCACCTGCACATGAGATCTTTTAGAGAGTCAGTGTGGCACTCCAGACGTGCGAGAGACCAGCAGCTACTCGTGCTGATGCGGTGGTTTCCGCGTCAGGCCCCACGTAGCCTCGCGGGGAGGCGGTTGGCAGCGGGAGGCGGGGCCGGCCGTGACCAGCCGCGTGTCCACGCGCTGGAGAGAGAAACTGCTTTGGCCCCTGCAGCTCTTGGGGCAGCTGCGTTCCTGGGGAGATGAGTGTGTGTTAAACCTGAGCAAGCTGATCAGTGCAGGGACTGCAGACGGCACGGGGTGGAGTCTTGGGTGATTGTACATGGATGTGTGCCTTCCCGAGGAGCGGGGCGGAGGGGCGAGTTCTGCAGGCAGAGCAGCTCCGGGCTGGGTCTGGCGATCAGAACCCTGCATGCTTCTGGCACTCCTGTGCCCTGCCGGCTCACGCGTGAGCGTCAGCCTTGTGTGCAGCTGGGGGCGTCGGTGGCGTGAGTGTGCGGGGCTGCGCTGTGTCTCCCGTGAGTTCCAGAGCGACGAGGGGGAGGTGCTGCTTTGCTCTGTCTTGCTGGGATCAGAAAGCACTTGCTTATTGTTGAAGACTCCGGTCTATTGGCCTCTTACCTGCTTTTTCCTGTAACGTAGTGGAACTTGAAAACGACGAGGGACGTGCCTCAGCAAACCGCTATCTTGCTCTTCTCACCTCTCCAGGCTTTCCGGGCGGTCGACACTAACGCGCACATGGTCTTGCTTCTTAAAGCAGGCGCCTCCTGGGGTCTGGGTGGTGGGGCTGCGGGCACTGGTCTTGTGCCCAGACAGTTCCACAGTGAACCTCTCCTCTGTTTTCCAGTCCACGCCCTCTCCGTCAGCAGACCTCCTGGGTCTGGGGGCTGCACCCCCCGTCCCCGCAGGCCCCCCACCCTCCTCCGGCGGGCTGCTCGTGGACGTGTTCTCAGACTCACCCTCCGCGGTCGCGCCGCTGGCTCCCGGCTCCGAGGACAACTTTGCCAGGTAGTCTGTCTCCTACGTCCTGAGGACAAGGACTCTCTGCCCTGCCCCCCGCCCCGCCCCGAGGTCCTTCCCTCCCCAGCCCCTCCACCTCCTTGGGGTGCAGTTTCCCTGGAGGAAGGGAGTGCACGCACTCCGAGGGGAGACCATCAGGTGGAAAGGTGGCCTGGGCCCCGTGCTGTGGCGCCTGCCGTTGGTCGCAGCGTGTGCTCTCGGCCCCTTTTCTCTTTGCCCTTTGGCACTCTGGTCCCACATCTCCCGCCCTTACTTACTCACCCTCGGACCTGCCTTCCAGGCCCCCAGCTTTATTTTCTTGAGAAACAGTCTTCAGGTGCAGTTGCTACTTCCCACCGTGGGGCCCTGCCTGAGGTGTGCCTCCTCTCCTTCCTCCTCTGCCCGCAGGCCTCACCACCTCTCCCCTTGGGCGCCGGCCGGCCGACCTCCCGCCCGCCGCCCACTTTACTGTTCCTCCAGCTTCAAGATGAAATCCCAAACTGCCCTTCCGAGCACGTTTGCTATCCGCCTTTCTGCCTGCCGGTCCTGTACCTTTCCCTGCTTGCTCCCCGCCATCATCTGTCTCTGCGGATCTTAATCTGAGTGGAGGGCAGGTGCAGGCAGAGGACAGAGGAATTCCTGTGGGTTTACACTGCCCCCCCCGGGGCTCTTTGTGCTTGCACCGTGCATTGATTCTTACTTCCTGCTGCTGGTGGAAATGCCTGGGAAAAGGCAGGTGTGGAGCGCTGCTGGGTGTCTGTCTCTGGCTGCAGACAGACTCTTTTTAAGAAAACGAGGAATAGTCGATTTACAGTATCATAGTAGTTTCAGGTGCACAACGTCGTGATTCACAACTTTTATCGATTGTACTCTGTTTAAAGTTGCTGCAAAGCAGTGGCTGTACCTCCCTGTGCTGTGCGGTGCGTCCTTGCTGCTCACCTACTTCACACG